AGATGTGAAACTCTACATAATTGAACATTTATTAAAATAATCAATAATAAACATTTAGAGTGCTTGTCAAATTTAGTATGTTACATGGAAATCCGTTATTTTTTTTAATAATTCCGATTTCTTGTATGAACATTAATTAGTAAGGCCGTTCGAATTTAACACTTCGGTTAGCATTCATCCCCAAAAAATTGAACAACCAATAAATTTGCATTGACCAATAAAATTGGCCCATACTCTTCGCGTAATAAAGTGTTCGTTCAGAATTCTCTCCCTAATCCAAGCCCAAAGTTATTAATGTTAACCAACTAATTAACTTTGAAAACTCAAATTAAAATCTCTAGACTAAACCGACAGCGTTTGAACTGGGAGTTGATTTGTCAGAATAGATTTTTTTTTATTCTAGTTCATTTTATTTTTTCATTTCAATTTCTTCCTGAAGTCATAAAAAGGGATGTTAACTAAATATTTAATTACAAGCGATCTAATACACTATTTCTTATAATTGGTTAACAAACATTAATAAAATTTCCAGTTTTCTTCGCTTAAATCTCTGTTATATTCATTTTCAATATTTGAAGCTATTTTCAAATTTCATAAATTAGTAGAATTCAATAATGATATTAAAAATTGGAAATGACTAGGTTATTATTGAGAAATCTTCAATCAAAATAATCACAGATTTATATAATAGAATTTATTCACTATTTACTTTAAATTTATAGAACACCAATAATTTTCACATAAAATTAGAAAAAATATTTTTTATTTAATATTTACAGGTTCATAAATATTTTAAGAAAAATTTATTAAAAATTTTTGTCACAAAACTAAATAAATTCGATAAACATGTTTTTATTTGAATTCAAAGAATTCTAACAAAAAAAAATTTATTTATTGAGTAGTTGGATATCTTACAAAGTCTTTAAAAAATTTAAACATCTATAAAAAAAATTTAAAGCTTTAATTGAAGTTATTTCAATAAATTCTTAGCAGAATTTTGTGAAAAACTTTTTATGTATTGTTCGTATGAACTAAAAAAAAATTTTGTTCGGTTGTTGCACAAAAAAATAGTATAAATACCGTGTAATTCGTATCAAGTAACACTAACTTATTTTAGATACATACTTACTACGTATTCAGAATTAAAATTTAAACAGAGCAGTAATGACAATTAAACACTTTGAAAAACTTTCTAATAATTATATCGAACTACTTGAAAATGAAAATGACTTTAATGTGATTATTAAAGTGGGAAAATCAACCGACATAAGAGAATTTAAGGCACATTCGGTCATTTTAAAATGCAGGTCTTTGTATTTTCGGAAAAAATTAGAAAATACTAAAGATACCGATAGTATTATGAAAATTGACTTAGAGTCGAAATTTTCTATTCAACAATTTGAAATAATTATCAAGTATGTTATACCGATGTAATATTTTTTTTTTGATTTATACTATTTTATAAATTTTAACATGCTATAATTTAATAATAAGATATATCTACGGAGGTCTGGTTTCTTTGGAAAATTTCGACATTCAATTTATTTTTGATCTTATGTTAGTCTCTGATGAATTTCTTCTGGAGGATTTAGTTGGATCTCTTGAAACTTTTTTAATCGAGTCTAAAGCCCACTGGTTACGTACTCATTTTACTCATGTTTATAAGACATGCTTCCGAAATAGCAAATTAAAAGAATTACAAAAATGGTGTAACGATATTTTAGCAAAAAATCCTAACATTATTTTTGATTCAGAAGATTTTAATTCTCTTAATGAAAATGCATTAATTTCACTTATTAAACGTGATGATTTGCAAATGAAAGAGATAAATATTTGGAATTATGTTATTAAATGGGGAATTTCGCAAAATCCTAAAGACTTACCTTCCAATCCCGATGAATGGTCTGATGAAGATTTTACGACTCTAAAGGCTACTTTAAATAATTGCTTATCTCATATTCGTTATTTTCAAATGTCTAGCGAAGATGTCGGAAATTATGTATTTTCATATTCCCAAATTCTTGAAAAAAATCTTTGGAAAGATTTAGCTAAAAGTCTTTTATTACTCAATCATAAAGTTATATCAACAATTCTACCACCACGTATTATTTTAAAAGCAGAATTACCAACCAGATCAACCGAACCATTTTCAACTGTTATTATTGAAGAACATGCAGCAGAAATTGCAACATGGATTGATAAAAATACTAATACTTATAATATAATAAACAATCCATATGAATTTAAATTGATTCTTCGTGGAAGTAGGGATGGATTTAATTGTGAAACTTTTTGGAAATTATGCAATATGAAAGCAAATACTGTTACCGTCATAAATGTTAAAGGCAATGATAATATTGAAAGAATACTTGGTGGATATTGTCCAATTGCGTGGGATAATAGCAAAAATGATTGTTATGCTAGTTGCCAAGATAGTTTTATTTTTTCATTAAAAAATGGTATTGATCAAAATTCTATTTTAAGTCGTGTTAAAAACACAAAACAAGCCATTTGGATAAATGCCAAATACGGTATATATTTTGGTAGTTATGATCTTCGTATGTTTGGTAATAGTAATTGTCAAACTGATGGATGCTATACATATCATTATAAGGATCCTCTTCGTAATCATTATGAAAAACAAATTGGTATTGAATCACCTGATGTAGATAATTATTATTTTGTAAATGAATATGAGGTGTTTCAAATTCATAAAAAAAATTAGTTATCTTCACATTAAAATTGAGAATGTAAATTAGAAACATCATTATTTGTATATCATATTATAAATTTATTACAAAATGTGTAGGGAGGATTAAATAACTATTCAGGATATTAGAATAAGTTCACAAAAGGCGATTATTTAACAATAGTGCTCTTATGTAAATATTTAAAATTCTGCTAATTATCGAAGCTAAGCTTTCAATTTGATATAAAAAAAAAGATTTAAAGCTCTAAAGAAAAACTTTATATACTATTCCGGTTAGAGAAGTATGATATACATCACATCTTTTTTAATTCCAATATTATTTATAAACATAATCAATTTTTTGCTTACATATAAAATTTGAGTTAAAAATATACAAGGGTATGTAAGCTGATTATTATATATAATATATCACTTTTTGCTATTTCAAATTGAAGACTTGTATATTATAAAACTATCAAGATTAATAGTATTTAAAGTTGCCATCCGCTTGAAGTTTCATTATTAATGAAGTCATCTTTTCTACAAGAGATCTGTAATATTTATAAAAACACTCATTTATATATGTAATAATTTTCAATGTTGTGTAATTAAAAAAAAAGAAGTATTTAAATGATATGATATGTCATTAAAAATACAGATGTAATCAGTGATGGAAATTCTATATTCTCACGTACTCAGAGAACATCAATTTTTTAATTTTCTATTAATGAAACGTATAAAAATTTTTTTTTTTTTGAGAACATTAAAACCAATCTGAATTTCCAACACTAGATGTAATGATAAAATATTCATCTGATCACCAATTCAACATATTAAGGTATTTCATAATTAGCTTAATTTCAAAAATAAGTGAGAGTTTAAAAAATGCTTAAATTGTATTTTTAAATTTCAAAATCAGAAAATGAAATAAGGTTGTCAGGATTATAAATCAGTTACAAACAAACATAAACTTAAAAATAAAATATACTTTGTAAGTCACTTGTTTCGAAATAAATACGTCATTCGAAATCAGGTGTCGAATCATTAATTTTAAACCCATTATATGATTATTATGATTATGTGAGACATTTCAAATTTATTAAACTAAATTTTATTAAGCTCTATACCAAATTTATCCTATTTCGTTCAATTATCTAGTATCACCATTTGGACTAATTGAGGAAGAAATGGAGATAGTTACTTCGTTTTTAAAAAAATCAATTTATGAAATGTTGTTATCTTTCATTAAATGAAAATTTAAAATATACTTATAACCTTTTTTTTTTTTTTGATATAAATTTTTATATATGAGGCATATCATCATAAAAACTTCAAGTATAACTTTAGTAGGCTTCTTAAAAGGAAACATTTCAAAATTTTTAGTTACATATGAAGTTACTTGATATTCATGAGGACTTGCAGCCTTATGACTAATTAAAACAGCTTCGTTACGCAATTTTTCATCACCTCCAACTATAGTTGTTAGCGAAACCTAGTTTCGACTTTCGCCAAAAAAATTTTAAAATAGCGAAACTGACAAAAGGTGGCGAAACTGACAAAAGGTGGCGAAACTGGCGAAAGGTGATAAAACTAATGAAAGGTGGTGAAACTGACAAATGGTGATTTAATAACCGACCAATCCGACCTGTATTAGCATAATGTAGGCCAAAATTTTATGCGCTGATTCCTTAGGGTCATCATATGGGTGGAAATTTTTAGTTGGAATGCAAAATTAGGTATAACAAAGTTTTACTTATAAAACAGCTTAGCTCAAACGATCTGGTCAGGTTAGTTTTGAGGGTATTCTAGCCAATCAGTTCGGAGCACTACTCATAAATTGGATATAAAAAACTAGTGTTCCGCGAAAATTACCCGGTTGGAGCTGGTATTTTTGATGGCTATAAAAACTGTGTTACATGATTTGAACTGAAATCGGTATATGTTAACCCACTATCGGGAAACGGGCTTCGCTTGTACCTCGCACGTTGAAAAGGTGTGAACCGGTTCTGGTCAGAACTCGACCGGAGGTTAGGTTACACCAGTAAAACAGTTCGACTTTAACTAAATCAAAAAATTCAGAGCATAATAAATAAAATTAATATACAAATAATAAAATTTGAGAAAACAAGCATCTGTAATTTGAGTTAAAATTAACCGATCGACGATCAGCATATTTAAAATTAGCAGCAAATCAAATTTGGGTTGTTCTGGTTACACAACCTTTAATTACTCAAAAAATTACTAGTGCCGTGTAACATAAAGTTGCATGATCGGTTAAATATGAGTTGATAGCATTATTAGAATTTACAAAATGATCCAATTACTTCCCAATGAGTTGCAAATTCAAGTTTTATCTAAAGTAATTACAAAAACAAAGTAAGATTAAAGATACGTATATTTAATTGAAAGTTGATTTTTTTCTTTTATTATTAATTTTCATAATCTTAACTAAATAATAATAGCTTTAAGTACTTTTGTACACTTCGAACTGTTTGTAAAAAGTGGGGCATATTAGTTCCTTTAGTTATGCAGGAAGTTGCTATGTGCGAGTTTGTAAATCCAGATTTATACTTTAGTTTAAAACTTGAGGTAAATTTGATTTTTTTATACTTAGTAAATCCTTACAATACACTTAATCAGCAATTAATAACTTTAACTTAGTCAATAGACTGGAAAGTCGTTCTATTTAAAAATTCTCCAACAACCTATGACTATGATGCTAAGACTTTTACTTTTCTATTCGATCATGATGAATATAATCATATTTTTTATAATTATCAAAAAATCCCTATAAATGTCAATTTTGCAGCATCCATGGATAATGGTAGGGATGGTAAATGTTTTTTTTACTGTATTACATAATTAAAAACAGGTGATCGGGATCTATTTAAATCCAAATTAACTATTTGGACTTTAATAATAATTTGTTTTTAGATGATGATGACTTTAGTGTAAATACATTCAGTACAAATTTTGGTAAATTAACTTTCCAGGGGTTCGTAAATGGTGATATCTATAAACATAAATTCGATCATCAAAATAGCTTGTGTTTTAAACGAGTGACTAATGAAAATAAAAAAAACGGTAAAAGAAACAATTACATGAATATTTATAGTTTTACAATTGCATCTTGGATGCTTTACTATTTTTTGGATTGTCATAAAATAGATAGGTAAGTTTTTATTAATATACATAGACTTTCTAATGTATTAGCTTTTGGATATTTAACAATTAATTATCTGATTTTTAGTGAAATTTTAGAATTGAAAAAAGAATTCCAATATACTCATGAATATCCACGCTTTTATTAATAAAAAACTAAAGATATTTACTGTAAATTCTACATTATCAAAAAAAAATCCTAATGAATAAAAATAAATTATTATTGTATATACTTTAAAGTTTTTTCTAATTTTGATAAATTTAATTATTTAAATGGTTTCCACATAAATTCTGTAATTTGACAGTAGAAAGATAATTTATTAATATTATCAATATTAGGTCATACAAATTTAATTACTTGGTTTTCATAACAAGAAATTTTAAATCAGACCCGGCCGGCATTTTTTAAAAAATTTTATATGTAAAAATTTTATAAAATGCTATAAATTTTATTATAAAAACCCACCCGGTTATTATAGCTGTTTTACAGCTGTTTTCATAAATTCTGGGACACCTAAAAATTTATTCGTTTCCCGAAATCTCTTCGGTTTCGTTCTG